GAAACAAGAACCATACCTCACACCATGCACAAAAACTAACTCAAAATGGATCAAAGACCTAAATAGAAAATTGAAAATGATAAAGATCATGGAAGAAAAAATAGGGACAATGCTAGAAGCCCTAACACATGGCATAAACACAATACAAACCATAAGTAACAATGCACAAACACCAGAAGAGAAACTAGATAAATGGGAGCTCCTAAAAATCAAACTCTTGTGCTCATCAAAAAATTTCACCAAAAGAGTAAAAAGACAACCTACAGACTGGGAAAAAATTTTTGGCTATGACAAATCCAATCAGCATGTAATCTTTAAAATCTACAAGATACTGCAAAAAAAGACAAATAACCCAATTAAAAAATGCACAAATGCTATGAACAGACACTTCACCAAAGAAGACATTCAAGTGGCTACCAGATACCTGAGGAAATGCTCATGATCATTAGCCATTAGAGAAATGCAAATCAAAACTACAATGAGATACCGTCTCACCTCAAGAAGGCTAGCGTTAATCCAAAAAACACAAAATAATAAATTTTGGAGAGGTTGTAGAGAGACTGGAACGCTTAGACACTGTGGGTGGGAATGTAAAATGGTACAACCACTTTGGGAATCGATTTGGCCCTTCCCTAAAAACCTAGAAATAGAAGTACCATATGATCCAGTAATCCCACTCCTTGGAAAGTATCCTAGAGAAATAGGAGCCATCACATGAATAGATATACACACACCTATTATCACTGTAGTACTGTTCACAATAGTAAAAAGATGGAAACAACCTAGGTGCCCATCAATGGACGAATGGAGAAAAAATTATGGTGTATTCACACAATGGAATACTATGCAATGATAAAGAATAACGATGAATCCTCAAAACATCTCAAAACATGGATGAATCTGGAAGGCGTTATGCTGAGTAAAATTAGTCCATCACAAAAGGACAAATATTGTATGAGACCATTATTATAAGAACTCAAGAAAAGGTTTAAACACAGAAGAAAATATTTTTTGATGATTAAGAGGGTGGGATGGAGGGAGAGGGGAATTCACTAACTAGATAGTAGGCAAGAATTATCTTAGGTGAAAGGAAGGACAACACACAATACATGGGAAGTCAGCACAACTGGACTAAACCAAAAGCTAAGAAGTTTCCTGAACAAAACCGAACACTTCGAGGGACAGAGTAGGAGGGGCAGGGGTCTGGGGACCATGGTTTTGGGGGACATCTAAGTCAATCGGCATAACAAAGCTTATTAAGAAAATGTTCTACATCCCATTTTGTTGAGTGGTGCCTGGGGTCTTAAAAGCTAGTGAGTGGCCATCTAAGATGCATCAATTGGTCCCAACCCACCTGGAGTAAAGGAGAATGAAGAACACCAAAGACACAAGGAAAATATTAGCCCAAGAGACAGAAAGGGCCACATAAACCAGAGACTTCATCAGCCTGAGACCAGAAGAACTGGATGGTGCTTGGCTTCCACCAATGACTGCCCTGACAGGGAACACAACATAGAGTCCCTGATGAAGCAGGAGAAAAGTGGGGTGAAGAACTCAAATTCTATTAAAAAGATCAGATTTAATGGTCTGACTGAGACTAGAGGAACCCCAGAAAACATGGTCCCTGGACTCTCTGTTAACCCAGAACTAAAACCATTTATGCCAACCTTCAGACAAAGATTAGACTGGGCTATAAGACATAAAATGATACTTGTGAAGAGTGTGCTTCTTAGTTTAAGCAGATTGTTGTTGTTAGGTGCCGTCCAGTCTGTTCCAACTCAGCGACCCTATGTACCACAGAACGAAACACTGCCCGGTCCTGTGCCATGCTTACAATCGTTATGCTTGAGCCAATTGTTGTAGCCACTGTGTCAATCCATCTCTTTGAAGATCTTCCTCTTTTTCACAGACCCTGTACTTTACCAAGCATGATGTCCTTCTCCAGGGACTGATCCCTCCTGACTATGTGTCCAAAGTATGTAAGACGCAGTTTCACCATCCTTGTTTCTAAGGAGCATTCTGGCTGTACTTCTTCCAAGACAGATTTGTTCATTCTTCTGGCAGTCCATGGTATATTAAACACTCTTTGCCAACACCACAATTCAAAGGCATCAATTCTTCTTTGGTCTCCCTTATTCGTTGTCCAGCTTTCGCATACATATGATGCGATTGAAAATACCATGTCTTGGGTCTGGCAGACCTTAGTCTTCAATGTGACATCTTTGCTTTTCAACACTTTAAAGAGATCTTTTGCAGCAGATTTGCCCAATGCAATGCTTCTTTTGATTTCTTGACGGCTGCTCCATGGGTAGTGATTGTGGATCCAAGTAAAGTGAAATCCTTGACGACTTTAATCTTTTCTCAAGTAGATATACAAGACTAAATGGACAGCTCCTGTCCAGAGGCAAGAGGAGAAGTTAGAAAGGTACAGGAGCTGGTTGAATGGACGGGAAATCTGGGGTGGAAAGGGGAAGTGTGCTGTCACATTATAGGGATAGCAAATAGGATCACATAACAATGTGCGTATAAATTTTTGTAAGAGAAACTAACTTGAGCTGTAAACTTTCACATAAAGTACAATAAAAAAGAGAAACCAAATGATGCATTGCATTGGGCAAATCTGCTGCAAAAGATCTCTTTAAAGTGTTAAAAAAGCAAAGATGTCACTTCAATGACTAAGGTGTGCCTGACCCTAGCCATGGTGTTTTCAATCCCCTCATATGCATGTGAAAGCTGGACAATGAATACGGAAGACTGAAGAAGAATTGATGCATTTGCATTAAGGTGTTGGCAAGGAATATTGAATATACCATGGACTGCCAGAAGAAGAAACAAATCTGTCTTGGAAGAAGTACAGCCAGAATGCTCCATAGAAGTGAGGATAGCGAGACTTTGTCTCACTTACTTTGGACATGTTATCAGGAGGAACCAATCCCTGGAATAGGACATCATGCTTGGTAAAGTAGACGGTCAGCGAAAAAGAGGAAGACCCTCAAACAGATGGATTGACACAGTGGCTACAACATTAGGCTCAAGTATAACACAGATTATGAGGATGACACAGTTTCAGGTAATGTTTCATTTTGTTGTACATATGGTCGCTATGAGTCATATGTACAACATATGACTGTTGTCTCAATGGCACCGACCAACAGCAACATAGATATCCTCTTGTTCTTTTTCTTCTTCTTCACAAAGAATCAATTTTCAGATTTTTAAATTTGCTTTAATTTTTTTAGTTTTATATTTTACCAATTTTGGCTCATAGCATTATCATTTTCTTCCTTTTACTTTGATTTTAATTTATTAATAGTTCCCTAAGTGTTTAAGAGTTTGGTTGCTAACCCCAAAAAGTCTGCAGTTGAAATCCGCCAGCCACTTCTTGGAAACCTTGTGGGGGCATGTCCTATAGGGTTGCTATGAGTTGGAAGCTACTTGATGGCAACAGGTTTTAATATTTAAGGTGGAAACTTGAAAAATTGGTTTAAAACTTTTTTTCTTTTCTAATATAAGGCCTTAAAGCAATAAATTGTCCTCCTTGCACTGTTAGCCATGTTCAACAATTTTTGTATGTTATTCTTATTGTTCATTTGCTTTAGAAAACATTACCACATGAATGCAGGGAATAGAGGTGATATGTGATTAACTCTTTTCATTTTCTGCACAACTTCTCTATAAACCAAAAACTGGTCTCAAAATAAAGTCTATTAAAATATTTTTCAAATATTTGAATATTTTCTAGGCAATTTTATTATTGATTTCTAATTTACTGTGTTGTGACCAGAACATATAGCCTAAAGGTTATACCAGGAATTGACTGATCAGGTCTAATACCATTTGGAAAATCTCAAGTTTATTAATATTTTTTTATGTACCCAAAATATTTCCTCTTTCAGAATTTAGAACAGAGCACTGCATAACCATGGATAGGCATCAAAATTTCTTCAGCAGTTTATGAATATGCCTTGACTGGATCCAAACCTAGGAATTCAAATCTAGTGGGGCAAGTAGTTTTGGTGCACATCTTCAGTTAAGAAAACACTAGACCAGATAACATATCCCAAATCGTTATCAATTAATTAATTCAGAATTTTAGAATGAAAGCAATGGCAGACTTTTGTGATGGGAATTTGTGTTTTAATCAATATGTCAAAATACTTTTATTTTGTTTTGTTTGCTTGCTTCCTTTCATACTTAATGGTTCTGGTCTATCAAAATAAGCAACATACTGTGTTAGTACGTATGTGTGCACACCTCATTCATCATCATCTATAGCTCTTTGTTCATAATGTAATGTGCAATGCAGTATAATCTTTTTCTACCAGATCTTACTATTTGTCTCCATTACATATAAATAAAAATTAGATTATAACAATCTCCTTTGTGGGAATAAACATGTTCAGATAGTACTAACACAAATATAAACTTCTACATAGAAAATACTTTGCAACAAAAATTAATTTCTTGAATTTTCCTATAGAGAATATAAAACTCAAATTCTATGCATTACTTATGGTGCACACTGACTTACACATACACACAGATTCACATACACACATATATGCCATGTAATGATTTGGATTTGGCTAAGTTCTTATAATATTTAGAGGATATGATTTTGCATGATGTTTTCAACAATTATGTCTTTGTTCAATTTAAATTGCAAGAGAATTTTGAACATGCAGTGAGGGAAATTAAATCAATTATGATTTTACAATTTTTTCAAATGTAGTATATATTCCAGATGGGGAAAGTTGGTGTATGTGCGTATGTTTGTATTTTGGTCCACCATGGTTTAGGTTTGTTCAAGTTTGTGTTAAAAATACACATTTTCTTACCTTTGCTTTCTTAGGGATGAAGCAATCTTACATAATAATGGAAACCTGAGAATGCAAAATATTTCTCAAGTTGTTGGTGGCAAATGGTAACGCATAAAAATAATCATTAAATACATTAATTTTGTATAAAATCATTAAAACCTCTCCCTTTTGTTTTAATAGCCAAAAAATAAACTTTGGAACATATGATAATTACATTCCAGGTAAGAAATGTGACTTAGATATTCAACATTTATGTTAAAAATATGTGATTAATTTTAGGGGTAAGTGATTATTATCTTTCATTCAAAGCAATAAAAAAAACTTTCCATGGGATATTATTAAAAATCAACTTTTTATTTCCAAAGGAACTTTTCTCACGGGCTCAAGATAACACTTTACATATTTTAATTTTTAAATTCAAGGAAGATTAAGCAAATATGTTCAGCAGCATGAAGTTGAACACATTCACATGTTAGAAATCACACAATCAGGTCATTTTACAATTGAAAAGCAATATAGAAATTGGAGAAACAACCTTCCATCCATGTCAGGAATCTCTTCTACGACATTCCTGATAGATTATACCAAGTTTATTCTTGGCCAAAAGTTTCACTACTCCACAAGGCAAGTCAATTTGATGTTGAATGGCTGAAATGTGAGGTGTTTCCCCTCATAGTTGAACTTAAAGTCTGCTGCCCTTTTATAAATTCTTCCCATTGATCCTGATTCTGTCCTTAAGAGATTCACAGGACAAGCCTCTTTCTTCTTAATAAACAATAATATGCCAAATATTTATATACAGTCATATCTCTCATCGGTCTTATTGGTAACCTAACCTAAATGTTTTTAACCATTTCTATTATAACTTCCAGGAAACTTCATCCTCCTATTCACCATTCTGTAGATAGATACTCTTTATTTGTGAATTTTCTTCATTAAATATGTCACCCATGACAATGCCGTTCTTGGGTGTGTAGCATTTGCATCTTGAAAAAATAACTAATAACTAAAAGGATCTTAAATATTAGCACTTAGATTCAATTATATATTTACTAATATTTTATACCAGGCAATGTGCTAAGTACTTCGAGGGCTACAAAGTAGTTAACATATTTTATCCTCTCAGTGTAATTGCATTCTAATCAAAAGAGCATAAAGCAAAAATCTAAGCTGGAAGAGATGGGAAAATTTAAACAGAATCAGTAAAAATTTCTTTCCTTTTCTATTACAAGCTATATTAGTTTTCTCAAAGAGTATACAGTTATTTGTAAAACTGGTCAAAATAGAAATATTGTATTTTATTTTCTCATATTGCCAGCATTTAAAACATTAGCAAATACATTAAGCCATATTGTGAATCATTTGTTTATTCATTTACATGTTATGTATTTTACTTACTACTATTTAAGTTCTGATGAAATTTTAACCATTTACTCCAAAGAGTTTGTTTTGCTTTCTTATTTTAGTCAGTGAATTAAGCAAAAAATCATGGAATCAGCAACACTTTGCCCTTGTATTTCCAAAACCACCCCGGCCAGGAAGGAAAAGGAGATCAATACCTTCCAAATTGCAAGAAAATACAGTTAGTGTAAGTATTAAAAACATCTTATAATTTTACCAGTAATAAACTTGAGAAATCATTCACACACATACAGAGCCACAGACACACACAAACACACACACACACGAGAACTTTCTGCAATGATAGAAATAGTTCATATCTTTGCAGTCCAAAGTGGCTTTTGAACACTTGAAATGAGGCCAGTGCAGGTGAGAAACTGGATTTTATATATTATTTAATTTCCGTTAAACTAAGTTTAAATAGCCCATGTGGCTACTGAATACTATATTGGTAGCACAGTTAAAGATAATTCAAATTTACTATTTGGGGGAAAGTAGATGTACTTTATTTACTTTTTACTGTACAACACTTTCCCTTTATTTCACATTAACTAATTGTTCAGTATCCCCCATATTACAGAACTAATTTAACCGACAAGCACAGAGAGCAGGACAAACTAATGCTGCAGTTAGAGCATGAACAATCAGGAAATATTCCCCAGTTGGAGACGTCCCCTCATTAGACTCATGGAGCTATACATTATACCCTTGCTACATATTATTATACATTATACATGAAGTTGTTGCTTTCTTATATCCTATAATCCAGAGTTCAGGATTTGAGTATTGGAACATAACTATTTCCCATTATTTCCCCACCATGGCTTGAATCCTATCAATGGACAAGAATAATATCAATCTGGAGTCACCCATGGGATAGGAAAATATTCAAAGAAAAGTATCACCAGATAAATGTATCATAAACTCTTGTTCATTATAGGAACATTCATTTTGTCAGGAGTTATCCAAGTTTCTTGTATCTTTTCTATTCCTTTCTTTCTTTATTCAATTTATATTTTAATTGTATGTTAACATTCTTATCAAAATTATCTACTTTTGTCATTATGTTTTGGCATTTATTTGGTTAGAAGTTGAGAACAAAATGCACCATTCTGCACAAATTAATGTCACTAACTGTTACTGATTTTCAGTTACCTATCTGATAATACTTAAATTATATTTTGCCAAGAAAGTGGAATTTCAGGCTTTTACCTTTAAACATGTGTAGCTTTCTAACTTTCAGAGACCTTGAAAGTGAAAATAGAAACCAAGATATGCCTAAAGCCTGAAACTAGTTGTTAAATATTCTGTTGTTGTTGCCGTTAGGAGCTGCTGAATTGGTTCAGACTGATAGCAACCCTACGTACAACAGAATGAAACACTGATGGATCATATGACAGCCTCACAATCATTGTTATGCTTGAGCCCATTGTTGCACCACTGTGTCAATCCATCTCGTTGAGGATCTTCCTCTTTTTCACTGACCCTCAACTTTATCTTGCATGATGTCCTTCTCCAGGGACTGGACCCTCCTGAAAACATGTCCAAAGTATATGAGGTGAAGTCTCTCCATCCTTGGTTTTTTTTTAATTTTGTCCCATACAAAAATTTATACTACATTGTTACATGACTTTAATTGCTCTCCCCATACTGTGACAGCACACTCCTCCTTTCCACCCCTGATTCCCCACGTCCATTCAACCAGCTCCTAACCTTCCCTGCCTTCCCATCTCACCTCTGGACAGAAGCTACCCGTTTAGTCTCTTGTATCTACTTGAACTAAGAGGCACACTCCTCACGAGTATCACTTTATGTCCCACAGTCCAGTCCAATCCCTGTCTGAAGAGTTGGCCTTGGAAATTGTTATAGTTCTGGGCTGATAGAGAATCCAGGGGCCATGCTTTCCAGGGTACTTCCAGTCTCAGTCAGACCATTAAGTTTGGTCTTCTTACTAGAATTTGAGTTCTGCACCCCACCTTTCTCCTGCTCCATCTGGGACTCTCTGTTGCATTCTCTGTCAGGGCAGTTATTGGTGGTAGTTGGGCACCATCTAGTTCTTCTGGTCTCAGGCTGATGAGGTCTCTGGTTTATGTGGCCCTTTCTGTCTCTTGGGCTAATACATTTCTTGTGTCATTGGTGTTCTTCATTCTCCTTTACTCCAGGTGGTTGGGACCAATTGATGCATCTTAGATGGCCGTTTGCAAGCTTTTAAGACCCCAGATGCAACCCAAAACGTAGGATGCAGAATATTTTCTTAATAAGCTTTGTTATGCCAATTGACCTAGATGTCCCCTGAAAGTATGCTCCCCAGACCCCTACCCCTGCTACTCTGTCCCTCAAAGTGTTTGCTTGTATTCAGGAAACTTCTTAGCTTTGGTTTAGTCAACTTGTGCTGACTTTCCCTGTAGTGTGTGCTGTCCTTTCCTTCACCTAAGATAATTTTTATCTACTATCTAGTTAGCAAAATAACCCTCCCCCTCCTTCCCCACCCTCGAAACTATTAAAGAATGTTTTCTTCTGTGTTTAAACCTTTTCTTGAGTTCTTATAATAATGGTCTTATACAATTTTGTCCTTCTGTGACTGACTAAATTCACTCAACATAATGATGTCCAGCTTCCTCCATGTTATGTTTCACGGCTTCATTGTTGTCCTTTATTGTTGCATAGTATTCCATTGTGTGGATATACCATAATTTGTTTATCCTTTTGTACATTGATGGACACCTAGGTTGTTTCCATCTTTTTGCTATTGTGAACAGTGCTGCAAGGAACATGGGTGTGCATGTACCTATTCATGTGACAGCTCTTATTTCTCTAGGACATATTCCAAGGAACGGGATAGCTGGATCGCATGGTACTTCTGTTTCTAGCTTTTTTGGGAGGGCCAAATTGATTTCCAAAGCAGTTGTACCATTTTACATTTTCACCAACAATGTATAAGTGTTCCAGTCTCTCCACAACCTCTCCAGCATTTATTATTTTGTGTTTTTTGGATTAATGCTAGCCTCGATGGGGTGAGATGGTATCTCATTGTAGTTTTGATCTGCATTTCTCTAACGGCTAATGATCGTGAGCATTTCCTCATGTGTCTGTTAGCTGCCTAAATGTCTTCTTTGGTGAAGTACCTGTTCATATCCTTTGCCCATTTTTTAATTGGGTGAGTTGTCTTTTTGTTGTTGAGGTTTTGCAGAACCTAGTAGAATTTAGAAATTAGACGCTGATCGGATCTGTCATAGCCAAATTTTTTTCCAAGTCTGGAGGTTGTCTTTTGACTCTTTTGATGAAGTCTTTTGATGATCATAAGTGTTTGATTTTTAGGAGCTCCCATTTATCTGGTCTCTCTTCTGGTGCTTGTACATTGTTACTTATGGTTCATATTGTGTTTATGCCATGTATTAGGGCCCCTACAGTTATCCCTATTTTTCTTCCATGATCTTTATCATTTTCAATTTTCTATTTAAGTCTTTGATCCATTTTGAGTTAGTTTTTGTGCATGGTGTGAGGTATGGGTCTTATTTCAGTTTTTTGCAGATGGATATCCAGTTATGCCAGCACCATTTGTTAAAGAGACTGTCTTTTCCCAGTTAACGGACTTTGGGCCTTTGTCAAACATCAGCTGTGCATAGGTGGATGAATTTATGTCTGGATTCTCAATCTTGTTCCACTGGTCTATGTATCTGTTGTTGTACCAGTACCAGGCTGTTTCAACTACTGTGGCGGTATAATAGTTTCTAAAATCAGGCAGTGTGAGGCCTCCCACTTTGCTCTTCTTCTTGAGTAATGCTTTACTTTTTTGGAGACTCTTCCCTTTCTGTATGAAGTTGGTGATTTGTTTCTCCATCTCATTAAAAAACGCCAGTGGAATTTGGATTTGGATTGCATTGTATCTGTAAATCGCTTTGGGTGGAATTGACATTTTCACAATGTTTAGTCTACCTATCCATGAGCAAGGTATGTTTTTCCACCTATGCAGGTCTCTTTTGGTTTCTTGCAGTAGTGTCTTGTAGTTTTCATTGTATAGATCTTTTATGTCTCTGGTTAGATTTATTCCTAAGTATTTCATCCTCTTGGGGGCTATTGTAAATGGTATTGACTTGGTGATTTCCTGTTTGAGGTTCTCTTTGTTGGTGTAAAGGAATCCAACTGATTTTTGTCTGTTTATCTGATATCCTGATACTTTCCTGAAATCTTCTATTAGTTCCAGTAGTTTCCTTGTGGATTCTTCGGGGTTTTCTGTGTATACAATCATAACATCTACAAATAGAGATACTTTGACTTCTTCCCTACCAATTTGGATACCTTTTATTTCTTTTTCTAGCCTAATTGTTCAGGCTAGGACCTGCAGCACAATGTTGAATAAGAGTGGTGATAAAGTGCATCCTGGTCTTGTTCCCGTTCTCAAGGGGAATGCTTTCAAAGTCTCTCCATTTAGGATGATGTCGGCTGTTGGCTTTGTATAAGTGCCCTTTATTATCTTGAGGTATTTCCCTTCTATTTCTATTTTGTTGCGAGGTTTTATCATGAATGGGTGTTGGATTTTGTCAAATAACTTTTCTGCGTCGATTGATAAGATCATGTGGTTCTTGTCTTTTGTTTTATTTATGTGATGGATTACACTGATTGTTTTTCTAATGTGTGAACCATCCCCGCATACCTGGTATAAAGCCCACTTGATCATGGTGAATTAGTTTTTTCATATGTTGCTAAATTCTATTGGCTAGAATTTTGCTGAGGATTTTTGTGTCAATGTTCATGAGGGATATTGGTCTGTAATTTTCTTTTTTTGTGGTATCTTTACCTGGTTTTAGTATCAGGGTTATGCTGGTTTCATAGAATGAGTTTGGGAGTTTTCCATCTTTTTCTATGCTCTGAAATACCTTTATTAGTAGTGGTGTTAACTGTTCTCTGAAACTTTGGTAGAATTCTCCAGTGAAGCCATCCGGGCCAGGGCTTTTTTTGTTGGGAGATTTTAATTACCTTTTCAATCTCTTCTTTTGTTGTGGGTTTATTTTGTTGTTCTAACTCTGTTTGTGTTAGTTTAGGTAGGTAGTGAGTGTCTAGAAATTTGTCCATTTCCTCTAGGTTTTCAAATTTGTTAGAGTACAGTTTTTCTTAGTATTCTCTTATGATTCTTTTAATTTCAGTTGGGTCTGTTGTGATATCACCCATCTCATTTCTCATACGGGT